TGATCTGTCTCTCTCTGTCAAATAAATAAATCAAATCTTAAAAAAAAAAAAAAGATTCCATTCAAACTGATAATAGAAGCATTGAGGAGCACAGGTGTCTGTCTCTGAAAGGGAATATGGTTAGATAGTTGGGTAGCTAGTTGTAAAAATGTGAATGCTGTATATTGCATTATTTTTTAAATCAACCTGATCAAATCACAGGGGATATAGGAGATTACAGTTTCAAAGTGGAAGGTAAATATGACCCCACTGAGTATGTACAAAAACTACAGGGAAACTACAGAGGGTTGGAGGTAAGAGTGGCCGGCAGTGGGACACCTGGGTGGCTCAGTGGGCTGAGCTTCCTAACTTTTGATTTTGGCTCAGGTTGTGATCTCAGGGTGGTGGGATCGAGTCGATCCCTACATTGGGCTCCACACTGAATGGAGGGTCGGCTTGAGACTCTCTCTCTCCTTCTGCCCCTCGCTCTCCCTAAGATAAAAAAAAGAATCTTTAAAAAGTATATATGACAGCCCAATGCAGTGATTACCAATGGATAACCTTTGAAATTTCAGGTAGTCCCATTTTCTGAAATGTAAGAGTTTTCTTTTTTTTAAGTCTTCTTGTTTTTCCAGCATCCCACTGTTTTCTTTCCTGTCATCCCTGACAACACTGAATTAGCCCCTTTACACTAAATAGGGACTCTTACACTTCCCCCCAAGTATCAGAAGAAGCCACAAAATGCCTACATTCAGTAATCTAGTGGTCAATTTATTTTTTTTATTTGTACAGCAACTCCAAAAAGAATATGAATTTTCTTTCTAAAATGTATACACTTGGATGATCTCTATTTTAAAATAACAAGAGAATTTGGGTGAGAAGCATCCAGGTGATTACATTAATTACATTCTAGATTTAAACTTATGTTTTCATTTGTGTAGAGAATCATTTCATTTTGCTTCTGTGAAAAGTCTATGGCCATCTCTCTTGAGGAAGCTGTAGCTTTGATTAGAGGGGCAGGTCGTTGATATGAGTTTTTTTTTTAAAGATTTTATTTATTTATTTGACAGACATAGATCACAAGTAGGCAGAGAGGCAGGCAGAGAGAGGAGGAAGCAGGCTCCCGCTGAGCAGAGAGCCTGATGTGGGGGCTCAATCCCAGGACCCTGGGATCATGACCTGAGCTGAAGGCAGAGGCTTTAACCCACTGAGCCACCCAGGCGCCCCGATATGGGTATTTTTTTAATGCTTGAAATTTATCTCTCACAAAATAATTTGATTTCACATTTCATTTGCCCTGAAAGCAAATACATTTATTACTGTTATACTGACCTCTTCTGGAAAAGTCTTATAATGTCATCCTGATCATATGTTAGCTCTTTTTTTTTTTTTTTTCTGGTGTTACAGTGTGCTGTGGAACTGAAATCATAAAAAATACTGAGTTTGGTGTAAATATTCAGGGTTCAGTTAATGGAAGGCTCAAGTGCTGAGCAAGGAGTTCAGAGTCTAATAGAGAAAATATGTATATAAAGCAATGATAGTAATGTAAATGCAAATAACTATAAGTTTATAAATACATATAGAAAGCTGATAATGACAAGTGAACAGACTTTCAAAAGTTAAATAGTCATTAGAAAGAAAAGGATGGGAGCTAAGTCTAGTCATATTTAGCCAGGCACCCAATGGCATGTAGTTTCTTACAGAACCTAAAGGATGGGGCAAAGGGAGACAGACTCGGCCCAGTCATAAAGATGTGTGTGCCCTGTCAAGAACGTGGTCCCCATCCTGAAGGCTTGCTACAGGTCTTTAAGCTAGGGAGTGATGTGGAGAGAATGAAATGTTTTCGGCATTTCTCTGGCAATCCCAGGAGTCTAAAATGAACTGTGGCAGAACCTGGAACCAGGCCAGCAGGTACTGAGCACCAGGAGACACCTGCTGGTGAGCGCCCCAGTCAGATGGGAGGTGGAGAGAAAGGAGCAGGCAGAGCAGGAGATACTGCGGCTTAGTGACTGGCAGGCTGGTTAGTGAGGGAGGTTCCCAAATCAGCCATCAGTAACTTTGTGGAGGTTGGAGTCATAAACTGAGAAAGGAAGGATGAACAAAAAAGCAGGTTTGGGAGATGATGTGTTTGGTTTGGGAGGAAAGTGTGAGGTGGTTTGAGGGGATTTTGTCATAGGAGCTCATCTCTACAGTTAGTATCCAAAATCACAGGAACTACTAAAAATAGGACCACTGTATATTGATCAACTTCAGCTGGCTCCAAACATTGTCTGTTATATTTCACTAGTAAATTTACTCCCCAGCTCTTCATGACTTCTCTCTTCTTGTCAAACTTTCAACGGTCTCATCCCCCATCATCCCCTATATCCTCCCTCCGCAGGCAAACTTACCTCCTACTTCATATCAAAAACACAAATAATTAGTTCAAAATGAACCATATATCTACCAGAAATTCCTTGTTTTCACCAGATCTAAAAGTGGCCTCCCCAACCCAATATCTTAAGCAGCAGGACTGTCTGCCCCCAGGCAGAAGTGAGGTAGGAGGTCAGGATTGCTAACTGACTATAGGGGGACGGATACGGGTGAATCCCAGAAGGATCCTATCTATATCTATATCCTAACTATATCTATAGTTAAGTAAGATCACACTTAACATAAGAGCCTAAGGACTTTCTTCTCTTTATTTATTTATTTATTTTCTTTTATTTGTAATTTATTTTCACTTTTTTAAAAAATTTTATTGTATTTTTCAGTGTTCCAAGATTCATTGTTTTTGCACCATACCCAATGCTCCATGCAATACGTGCCCTCCATAATACCCACCACCAGGCTCACCCAATCCCCCACACCCCCCCAAAAATACTGTTTCTCAGAGTCCACAGTCTCTCATGGTTCGTCTCCCCCTCCGATTTCCCCCAACTCACTTCTCCTCTCCTTCACCCGATGTCCTCCATGTTATTCCTTATGCTCCACAAGTAAGTGAAACCATACGATAATTGACTCTCTCTCTTTGACTTATTTAAATTGAAGTACATTTGACACACAATGTTACACTAGTTTTAGATGTACAACATAGTGACTCAACAGTTGTATTCATTACATAGTGTTCACCAGAGAGAAGTGTAGTCAGTATCTGTCACTATACATTATCACAATAGTACTGACTATATTCCCTACACTGTACTTTTCATCTCCATGATTTATTTCGGCCTGGAAGTTTGTACTTCTTAATCCCCTGTGCCTATTTCACCCATCCCCCCTCTCCTTCCCTCTGGCGACCACCAGTTTGTTCTCTGTAGGAATGATTTCTGTTTCTGTTTGCTTGCCAGGCCCAAACCAGCTCTGTAACCTTAAAGGAGCTCTTTTACATCCAGTGAACTGTTTGACTAGGTTGTTTCCTTTAAGGTCTCTTATAGCTTTAAAATGTTATGATTCCACCGAAAACAAATACACTTAGAGATGTATAGTGAGTTATAAGCTGAAAACTAGCCTTACATTAAAAACTTTGAAGATCTTATTTTAGTAATTTCAACTATTCTGTAAAATGAAAGATGTTTTTCTTTAAACCCTCCTCCTGAAGTACTGAAAAGTTGGTAGTATTAGATGAATCTGTAGATATGAATGGAGATCAAATCCATAACTTGACTAACATTTTCACAAAGCAGTGCACAAAACATTGAAAAGTTCATCGCTATAAAACCAATTTACTGATTGATGAAAAGGTCCCTCAACATGTAACCTTTAAATGTGTGACATTTCAACCAGAATATTAGGTTAGGAGTTTCAAATTTTGACTTTTTAGACACATACTGATACAAACATCTCATATCATCACTGGTAAGTATTTTATATATATATAATATGAGATAGTTGTGCTGTAATTTTATGTCTAACTAAATTGCTGTGTCAGGGAAAATAGTAATGTTCAGAGAGTTCATGAAAGATTTTTTTAAGTCTTATAAGTAAGTGTGTGATTAGTTGAAGCTGTATCAGCTCTTGGTGTAAGGCTGCAGCTGTTGGCATGAGAAGTGTCGAATGTCCAGAGAAGTTAGAGTTATGAATAAACAGAATAAGAGAGAAGGTCTCCTGAGAAGAAAAGGAAATATTAAGCATATGGATTATCATTGCATTGCTTCTCCTCTTCCAGGTTTACTGCTAAAATACAAATTTCAAATATATAATTTAATCTTTGTTAATTCATCCTGCTCACCAGGCTATATAAAAATAAGGCAAAATAAAAGATTATTAAAAAGCTTGATATTTTCTTTACATCTTATGAAAATGAATGATCTACTCTTCTTTTTAAATAAAGATAAAAACGTCAAGATTGCCTTGTTACATTCACATCCTTTGTTAAATGTAATGTAAATTTAGTTTACTGGAAAAGAACTGTCCTAATTTTAACAGGCAGAATTTATTTGCCTTCTCTTTATTAGGATGAGCATTCCCCAAGGTTTCCTTCTCAAATATTTTAAGTTTTTCTCTTAGAAAGAGGCTTAGGGACACCTGGGTGGCTCAGCTGGTTAACCAACTGTCTTTGGCTCAGGTTATGATCAAAGGATCCTGGGATCAAGTCCTGCATCAGGCTCCTACTCAGTGGGAAGCCTGCTTCTCCTTCTCCCTCTGTCTGCCACTCCCCTGCTTGTGCTGTCTCTCTGACAAATAAATAAATAAAATTAAAAAAAAAAAAAAAGAGGCTTAAAGAAAGCGATTTTTAAGGAGTAACCATTAATATGATAATGTGCATTTCACTTGAGTGACAATAGTATACACTTAATACTAATAAAGTCATTAACTTCTAAATGTTGCATGTTAATTTGAAATGATTTCCAAAAGATTTTGTCAACATTAAATTCTGCTGTAAACTAGTCTGGTTTTTCTATTCATTTAAGGTAAAGTTTATTTTAGAAAGTTATAATTACATAAGACTGTCATGATTCAGGGTTTAAATGTTGGTTTTGTAAGAATTTTTTTTTTTTTTTGGCCCACTTAGAGCCGTGTCCTGGAATTGGTGCCCAAACAATTTTAAGTGTGGTATGAGCTGTTTATGTCACTGAGTAAAATTAGATACGCCTGTTGCTAATACGAGGGGATGAAACATGAGACAAGGCCAAACACGTGAGAGCCTTTTCTTCCAGGCACAGTCAGTGAATTCTGAAGCCCCAAATCCTTCACTCATTCTGCAAGTAAGGGGAAAGTTTGAAACATTGTCTCTTGTAGAGCCCGAGGACTGTAGTACTTCCCCAGTGGGCTTTTTAATACATCTAAGGTAAGTCATCAGTTTTAACTTGGATTTTAGATAATTCAACTTGGATTTTATATCATTACAATGTACAACTTCAACCAAATAGGTACAAGATTTCTTGGTGTTTTTCTCTTCCTAGGTGGCATAATAGTTAAATCTGTTTGAAATGTTGAATACATTTCTTTCAAAATGATTATATATAAATAGCAATAAAATTTAGTGTAACTTATCATTTCCACTCTTTTACTCTACTAACATGCTATGATTTGTATTTCTCATGTTTTTATTTTGTAGAATTCCATGATAGCATTTCTCTGTTATGGGACATTTAATTGTACACTGTAGTTAATCTGGATAAAATATAATCTTTAAGATTACCTGTTTCTAATTCTGCTCTTAAACTTTTATGGTGGAACTACATTTGCTTTACATTTTGTTCATAGTTCTGTTACAGTCATTAAACAATAGATTGAAATTAATGAGAGCAAGAGTCCCAGTCTTTTGATAAATTGGGAATAAGCAAAAAAAACAAAAAACAAAAAACAAATTACCAACTTTGGATTCCCAACTACTTTTGAAATAAAAAAAAGGAAAGAATAGTTCTCTCCTAAAATCTGGAAAACAAAGCATTGCTCAAAATCTATATCAAAAAGTCAGTATAGAGTCAAAGGTAAATGTGCCAGCACTTAGGCCTGCTAAGTTTTCAGCTCTTTCTTTGTGTTTCCTAATATGGAGCAGTTGGAAAACAAGTTTAAAGGGAGGCGCAGAAAAAGATAATAAAGGAAAATAGAACTCAACTGACTAGAAGATTTGCCAGCAGGATGGAGCAACTCACTAGAACAAAATGTACTATTTAGTTTTTACTTATTTTCTTGGAAACATTTTGTAGGAGTAAGTACAAAGAGGCACACTCAAGAGTTTCAAGACTAATGGTTCAAGTTGGTGTTAGTTTTATAGGTTCTAGAATTTATCTAAGGTTTTCTTTCAAAGCCAAATAAAAAGTAGTATTTCAGCATATTTAAATGTCAAATTCCAAAGACTGACAAATCTGTTTCCAAAAGAGGCTGGCTAAGCTTGCAGTTGTAGGTGCCAAGGGCAGGCCACCCCAAAATGTAAGAGTCACTTAAGAAATAGCCAGCAAAAAAACAATCTGACCACCCCCCCCTCCACCCCGTGTTTGTCTCCTGAAAGCCAGAAGTAAACCTCCCATATGAAAGGTGCCCTCCTTGTAGAGGGAGATAAGGAGACTTCCTTATCACCAGAGGTAGGGCATTGAGAGCCAGGAAGTCTATATAAACAACCCTTGTTACTCTTTACTAATCTACTCTCCCAGCCCAAATTCTGTTTAGAATTCCTTACTAATGGCAGCTCCCAAACTTAAGTTTTCTTTGTCCTGTCAATTCCTCATAGATTTATGGTCCCTTTCTCTAAAAAGTATAAAAACTGCCTGCCTGAGTTGTTTATTTTTCTTAAAAAAGATTTTATTTATTCATTTGACAGAGTGAGCGCGGGCACAAGCAGTGGGAGCAGCAGGCAGAGGGAGAGGGAGAAGCACGCTCCTCCTCGCTGAGCAGTGAGCTCAATGCCGTGCTTGATCCTAGGACCCTTGGATCATGACCTGAGCCAAAGGCAGCTCCTTAACTGACTGAGCCACCCAGGTACCCTGGGTTGTTTCTTTAGGTCTCCACCTCATTATTGGGCCTGTATGAGCATATAGTAAACCTTGGGCTTTGTTTTGTTTTCTGTTGATATGTCTCATGTGAATTTAATTCTTAAACCACCTGAAGACCTTAAGGGTAGAAGGGAAAATCTTTCCTCCCCTACAGAGTTAAAATAACAAAAATAAAACGGCCAAATATTTCCTTTAAAATACACACTTTCTAGTCATTGTATTGTTGTTGACTATGAAAATTAAATAGTAATTGTAAATTATGAAAGGGTGACCATTTAGTTTAATTTTGCATATTGTGTAGGACCTGTGGTTTCCCCTTTACTCCCTCTTCTGCTTGGTTTCTCACAGACCCTTGCTGCTTCTCAAATGAGCCCAGCCCGGCTAAGCGCTAAGCCCACCATTGATATGGTTTCCTCATGGGAGGGAAGTATGACAATCCAAGTATGATTTTGCTACTTGTCTAGTCTTCAGAACCAGCCTCTATCCCTCTCTCCTTCCCTCCCCACCCACAAACAGCATCCACATAGCTTCTCTGGACCTACTTCGATGCCAGATTATTTCCGTGCTGTCCCCGTGAGTGTTGTGGTTTTCCTCATCCACTGGACTTGCCATTTCAGATTTATTTTATTTTATTTTATTTATTTATTTGTCAGAGAAAGAGAGAGAGCAAGAGTGAGCACAGGCAGATAGAGTGGCAGGCAGAGGCAGAGGGAGAAGCAGGCTCCCTGCTGAGCAAGGAGCCCGATGTGGGACTCAATCCCAGGACACGGGGATCATGACCTGAGCCGAAGGCAGCCGCTTAACCAGCTGAGCCACCCAGGCATCCCTGGACTTACCATTTGAGACTGCAACTTCATTTTCAATTTTATATCTGATTATGACCTAGCAAAATTTATGGGAAAATTTATATGGGAGTATTTAGTAATTTGTGGATTTCCAAAAGTTTCAAGACTTCTTTCAAAATCCCTCAAACTATCGAAGTCTGCTTGACGTGGGTATGACTAGTATGTCGTGTACCACTGATGAAAAAGGAGCTGGGGATGGCAAGAGGGTTTGCTTATGCCCAATGGATATGTGCTCCATCCTAAAGCCCTGGGGTGCCATTTGAGCATTTACAACAGAAAAGCAGGAGGGACAGATTTATTCTTTGGGATGCTCACTCTGGTTGCCACGGAGAATGGATTGGGGGCGTAAGGGAGGGAGGGGATATGGGGGGAGGAGTCATGGAAAGTCCAGAGACCGCTTCTGGGGAGGACTAAGGAATGAAGAGAGAAGCAGCAGGAAGAAGCCATTGCCATGGAGATGGATACCTTGAAACCTAGCCTCACCTTTGTGACTATTTGAACTCTCTTTTGCACATTCTCAATTAGTTTTACTTGTGAAATGACCCTGAAAAGCATACTATCAATGATGAGGCAGTGATTACAAGTTCAGCCTGTGGAGTTAGAGTGCCACTTTCTAGCTGTATGACCTTGTTGGTGTGAATTGCTTAATTACCTGCAGCCTCAGTTTCCTCATTTGTAAAAACAAGAATAATCAGTTTCTACCTCCTGATGTTATAATGAATATCAAATTCAGATCATACAAAACATGTAGAAAGTGTCGGACCTCTTGGTAAACAGTAGCTCTTCTCACCCTCCTCCTACCCCCATGCCTCCTCGCCGTCACCACCAATAATGAGGAAACACATAGTCTCTTATTCTGACCCCCACTGACAGGGAGGTCAGGGAAGAACCTCAGAATGGCATCAGGATTTCTAACCTGCTTCTCCTGGACCCCCAGCAAGGCACCACGAGCCCTCTAAAGAAGATAATAGACTGAGGCTCTTACTCCAATAGGGAATGTTCTCCTCATCCAGTCAGGGCTCCTTAGAAGGAAATGCACCTTCCAGAAAAAACAAAAAACAGAAAACCCTCCCTGATACTCTCACTAATTTACTAGAAATCTGTGGTGCCTTTAGTAGTTCTGAAGGAAAAAAAAAAAAAAAAAAAAACTCAGCTGACTGGGTTTCCTGTGAACATTTTCCTTTCAGAAAACATTATAGATCTTAATGAAAATTATTTATAAAATATTCTAAAATGTTGATCTTAGTAAAACATAGAAGTATGCTGTCCCTGTACTGACCCACATTTGAATATCACTTTAAATCCTCATGTTTCAATCCTGAAGAAACGGTGTCTACAAAGATAGAAGTTAATCATGACCTTGAAGTTCTCTGAAACTTCTTAACAAACTGTCAAAGCAATCAGAAAATTGCATATACACCACATTTGATAAGAACCTTAATTAGGTCTACCTCAAGAATTCCTTTTTGTCCTAAACCTTTCATATGGAGACTTGTAACTAAAAAGAATCTCCTCTTGGTTAATACATTTAAATAACTTTCTTTTCTTAAAATTTGTCCTTAATTTTGTGTGGTTATTTCTCAGAGTTAACATTTAGTCAAATGCTATTTTTAGGGACTAGGCAAGCTGAGGTTTTGAGGGGAAGGGGTTATAGAGCTGTTTTGTCTGAAATTTTCAGTTCAGTTATAAAACTCCAAAGACTAATGGCATAATGACCAGTTCTTTTATTCTGTTTGGCCAAATGCAGCTTCCATATGTAACTTTAAGAATATTCTGAACTCTAACTTCCTTTGTAAATAATGTCAAACTTAAAGAGTTATGTCTATACTAGGATGGACTGAGGTCCCCTCTCCCCCTCACAGGGCTGGCACAGGAACAGGCTACTAAATAACTAGGAAGCGTTTGCATATTTCTCTGGGGCATTGCCCACATCCCAACCCACATCTTTATGTCCATCTTCTTCTACCACCCTAATCAGCTGCTCTCATTGCCTGACATATGCCTCTCAGAGAACATTCCCTTAATAAATTAGTTGTATGAGCATCTTCACCTCAGGTTCTACTCAGGGAACCTGACTTCAGGTGGAGGAAGTTGAGCAATGTTCTACTGAGAACTCTGTCGGCGTAGGCATGCTGTAGATACAACTGCTCACCTGTTAAAATCCCAATCTTTCCAGGAGCACTTGTTTAGATAGGCTTCCCAGGAAACACTCTGTGCTGGAGATTTGCATGCCATTTCATGAGAGAACATCTTTAGTAAAAACACCTGTAGGAAACCGAAGGCAGCCCAAATTGGGCAGGACAATTGAATGGAATGGCAAGGTAGTTGTGACGCAACTGGGATGGCCCTCAGAGTTGTCCTGGAATTGAGGAAGGTGCCTGGGCCTTTCGCATCCCTGCTGTGATCAAACAGTGGATGTGGGACACACTGTAGGTGGGATGGTGGGGCAGCTCTGTGCCATCAAGAGTAATTCTCATCATCAGTTGTCACTCCTGACAACTGAAGGA